TGCGACGTCTTCTCCCGTCAGCAGCTCTGCAATCTGGAATGCATCATCCTAAACAAACTACACTTCAACCTGGGGGCACCGACCATCAACTTCTTCTTGGAGCACTTCACCCGCCCCGCACAGCCCGCCCCGCACACCCCACGGGGCCCCGCGCCCCGCACAGCCCGGCCCGGATACCCCACGGACTGTGCTCTCCTCTCCATAGAGCACTGTCTGAAGCACGCCGGTCTTGGGCATTCATGCTGTGTGCTGACTCTCCATAGACACGTCCAGGCCATATCACGGCACACACAACCCGTCACTCTGTCTCTGCTGCACACGTGGACACTCTCACTGACACTCAGGCATCGCCTCTCTCTCCATGCACTGTCCTCACCCTCAGGCTGTATATTATGTGCACGGGAATCCCATTCTGTTCCATATGCATGTCCCCGCCTCTCGCTCTGGACGCAGCATCGAGTCCTGCAGCACCCTGGACACGCTCATGTGGCGCTGCTCCGTCCCGTGTGCCTGCTCTTTCCAGTCTCCCGCCTTCATCTCACCACAGTGCGGGCACATTCCTGTCAGTGTCCCCGGGAGCATGTGCCCATTACTCGCACGCGCTCTCGCCGAACTCTGCACACGCATCACTGTTTAGCCTGTACAATATAGACACGTCCAGGCTACGCTGGGTTTTGCATACGTCCCTCTCCCCGGCTCTCTTCAGTCTACACATTGTATATTGCCTCGTGCTCTTCTGCATGTGCCCAGATCCTTATCCTGACTAAACATTCGGGCTATGGCAGTACAATGAAGTGCCCTGCTTGTGGCCACTGGGAGTAAGTAACGCCTTATATCACTGTCTGGCTACTTGAAATCGTTCAGCGTTACGGCGTAGCTGTCCGGACAGTATCTAGGGAAATTGTAGCCTAGTCTGTGGCAATTCCCAGTTTGCAGACGTGTCACGTGGTTTACTGAGCTCTTCTCTCTCTTGCAGGTGACGGCGGAGGCCCGGTGTAAGCTGATCAGCTGGCTGATCCCTGTGCACCGGCACTTCGGCTTCTCCTTCGAGTCCCTGTGCCTGGCAGTGAATACCCTGGACCGATTCCTCACCACCACCCCAGTGGCTGCCGACTGCTTCCAGCTGCTGGGAGTCACTTCCCTCTTCATCGCGTGCAAACAGGTACTAGGCATGAGACGCGGGCGGCGGGGGCCCCTTTGGGTGCACATGACGGGAACGTCAGGCACCGTCGGGGAAGAGAGAATGAGCGGAGGACAAACGCTTCTCTCGTCCTAACTCTAGAGGTGAACTGAGCTCTGTGAACAACAAGGCTGATGCCACACGAGATCTCTGGGGAAACCGCTCAGGCACGTAACCCTGCTCGAGTCGCGCAAGTTCCTCTGCTTTTTAAAGAAGGTTTCACGCGCACCGCGCTGGGTTTGTATCATTTCACTACGCTCTGCACGGCGCTTAGGCAGTGGCAGTTTAGCTCTCTGATGCTGTGGCCTGCCTGCAGCTGATGCACTGCAGGGCATGCGAATGCAGGGCCGGCCTCGTGCTCCGAGCTGCCTTCTGCCCTGTTTGGAGCGCGGGGGAGCGGTTTGCTCTCTGCCTGTGTAGCAATGCTGTATTTGTTTCTTGGGCTCTGCTTGCACTGCAGTGATGTTTCTGCTGGCGTGTCTTGCAGGTGGAAGTGCATCCGCCCAGAGTGAAGCAGCTCCTAGCCCTTTGCTGCGACGTCTTCTCCCGTCAGCAGCTCTGCAATCTGGAATGCATCATCCTAAACAAACTACACTTCAACCTGGGGGCACCGACCATCAACTTCTTCTTGGAGCACTTCACCCACCTGCGTGTGGAGTCCTGCCAGGCAGATACCAAGGAAGCAAACAATGCCAAAGCTCTGGCCAAAGGGATGGCCGAACTTAGCATGGCCGACTATGCTTTTAACAAATATCCCCCCTCCCTTCTGGCCATTTGCTCCCTGGGACTGGCAGACCAGATGTTGCACCACCAAAATCCACTGGACTTGCATATAAGTGGCTACCCGGAGGAGGTTTTACAGGACTGCACGGACAAACTGCATTTACTGGTGTCTTTAAACGGAGATTCTTTACCGCATGTACTACCCCCTGGATATTTCTGAAAAGTGCCTGCAGCTGGGAAGTTAAGCTAACTGGACCAATGCACTTGAAACCCTCTTATGGCATCCAAAGCATCTGTGAATTTTAAGAGCAATTTGGTTCCTTTTCATCAATGCATTGTATTTTTAAAACTAATAATTGCTATACCTCTAAAGATAACAGTATTGGCCTTATTCTCTTACTTAATTGACTAATCAATGTATTATATTTGTATTTATTTGAACTCTACAATGTTGGTTTAGAGTTTTGATAGATGACAAAAATTAAATCACATTTTGCACATTTAATTACTGTATGTTAGTTGCACTGACAGATTTTATATATCTACATTCAATGTGTAAATAGTGTATATAATCCAAGTACTGTACAGTTTATTTATTTAGAAAATGGTTCACTAAGCACACTAAGTTCACTAACAGAAGCCACAGGAAGAATAAAAGAACGGTATAAGCATTTCTTAATAAACTTTTTGTCACTGATCAATGATGGTCTGTTTCCTTGCAATTTTGTACATATTCCACAGAGGAAATTCATTGCTAAAGAATTAACAACAATGACAGGTCTTAAAAAATACCAACCAATAGAAAATAATCGTGCATTATTGTATTATTTTCCATTAAAATATATTTGCATCATCTTGCTTGTATTCTGCATCTGAAAAATTAGATGATGTAGCACAATGAATGAGCCCCATTCTCACCCACCACAAGTACCTTCACAGGGGTACTATTCCCCCTTTTCCCCTGGGCAGTGCAAGTCCATAATATGGGAGCACAAAGTATCCCTGACTCTTATTGCCTGGGTGCATCCAGTTCCAGGTGTGCTAGGGGCACTTTCTGGCTGAGGGTACCGATTCAGCAGCTTCTCACTGCCATAGGTCCATTGGGGAGAAATGGCTCACTTCTGGCTTCACAAATATTGTGAAGAGAACAGCACGATGTGGACAGTATTAATGACACTGCCATCTAAACGGGTTTGTAGACATCTCCAATGGGCTTTCAATCTGCCAAAAGCACATTCAACAATCATTCTACACTGTCTGGGAATGTAATTAAACAGTCTTTTGTCAGGGCCTCTGAAATCATGGTACTGTTTGATAAGCTAAGACAAAGGGAGAAATGCAGGGTTCCCAAGAATAATGGTGGGGATAGAAACTCCGTTTATGACAATGTCATTTGGTGGGACTAGTGTCCCAGCCTGTCCATGGATGTAGACGCCCGATCAGCAAAAAATAATTGCATTGTGAATTTTTTCAGTGCATCTCACACTGACAGTCATAAATTGACCTCTGTGGTCCACAAGGGCTTGTATAACAATTATTACCCTTTGTGCTTTAGGTACTTATGTGTTCCTTGAGGAGGGCAAACTATGGGCACCTGAGTCCCATCAAGGGCCCTGGTGCAGTTTGGAAACCACATTCTCTGACAGCCAGCAATTACTTTAGGAATATCTTTTATGCCCACCACCTTGGGGTAAACCTCTGGTCTGATTGCCTCAGAAACATCTGCCACCATTTTACCCATCGTCGACTTCCCCACACAAAACTGGTTGGCAGTGGACCTGTAGCAGTCTGGGGCAGCAACAGCAACCTGCTTCAGGACAGGCAAGGCACGTGTATCTTATACTGGAGGGTTGGGACATGCTGATCACAAAGCTCCAGAAATGTAGCTTTCTTCATGAAAAAGTTCTAGATCCACTGTTGGTCATCCCAGGTCTGCATGACTATGTGATCCCACCAATCTGTGCATGTGGCCCTGCATCAGAAGCACCAGTCTGTGTGGGGTGGGGTAGGGGCATCAGCAGCTCTACTGATTGTCATAAGCAGCATCAGCCAGTTCAAGTCTGTCATGCCTGTATTCTCCTCCTCCAGCTCCATTATAAGCTCTGTCAGGTGCCTTAGGTGGGTCAGAAAACACCGCCGAAATGTCCACCAGCACTCATGGAAGCTCTGCCCATTTCCTGACACAGGAGGGAAAGCGCTGCGCAAGCAAAAGAAGTTCTTGAAAAGGTGCCTCCTCCGTGTCACTGGCTCCGGTCGCTGGGAGTACGCAGACCAAAATGACGCCTTGGCAGGCTGTGTTGGTGAGCTGTTCAAACTTCTGGAAACCTGCAGCGTGGACAGTCAAGTTTTCCCACAGTGCACCACAGTCAAAGCGCTAGAGTGGCCACATTGCACAAAGGAGTCTGTGCTATGGCTGGTTTGACTCAAGTCTTTGTGCTACAGTGTGCATAATAGAGCCCCAGGTTCAAACCCCGGGGTTAGGAAAATCTTAATTTAGAGTTAACAATCAGTATGGATGCTCAAGCTCTGTGTTCTGTAACCCATGGTCAGCTGACTCATGTCCCACTAAACCTGGGCTTACATTGCAGTGTAGACATCATTGTTTCTCCTTCTTTATTCTGCTATCGACCTAGTTTTAACAAAGTTTTTGATCGGTCCTGATCCTAAAAGGTAATGAATGTACTAAGGCATAAATGGACAAAAACAGGGCCAAGTAAAGTCAAACCTATAGCTTGATTTTGGAAATGCAGTCCTGCAGATACAGTTTTAGATAAGGACCAAAATGCTTCCAGGGGGGAATCCAAATGTTTCAGTCTCTTAAGGCACCTTTACCTGAGTCACTTGTAATGTTAGGAGACTAGAAAGCCTACCTGTGTAGAGAGTGCAATGCACTTAGATGTGTCACAGTCATTTAAAAATGTATATTGACACACCCAAACAGGCCTGTTTGCATTTATTTCTCACTGTAATATATAGTAAACCGCAAGTAACAGATGGTTTGAAAAACCTCACTGCCTGCTTTTTGCTAGGGTCCTCTCCTATTTTGTAGGTCATTGTGGAGGGCACTAGTTATTCATTATTATTATTATTTATTTATATTACCATATGGTCTAGGAATCTCTGTCATGGACCAGAACCCCATTGTGCTAGGCCCTGTACAAACACAGTTGCTACCCGTCTTCTCTTTAAAGTATGAGCCACCCGCTAGCAGGTCCAGGTTGTGCATTTTAAAAGACATCATATCCTAGCCATCATTACAGTTAGTTGTGTTGATCTCTTTGTACACAGGGCTATTACTGAAGTTTGTGCTTCAGAAAACACCGTCTTTTTCAGGTACTGGTGATTATGTGTAGCACAGCACTCTGCAGACCGGAAAAAACAGACAGGTGGATACAATCTAGATGAGGGGGATATTGCAAAGAATAAAAGACAAGGGGCCTTGGATTTAAAATTCCTCTGGACCACGCACTAGACAATGTAATATAGGGAGGTATCCTGCTTTGGTAGAGGGATAGTTTGGAGGATATAACGCGGTTTCACCTCTGATGTCCATGATTCTGGAGGAGTTACATATTTCCCCCCCTTTTTGTCAGAGTCATGTTTTTAATACCTGCACTTATTGAATGATAGTGTCCTGCATGGGAAGGTCTTTAGCTATGGCCCAGGTGAGTTCTTCTCTCGCCCATCACCGTGCTGTGTGAGCCCTTAGCCTGTGACTCCCCAGCTCTTTGCTGTGCGCCCCGTCAGATCCCTGGCTCGCTGGAGCCAGAGAGTCCAGCCGAGCAGATTCTGGTTCGGGGCTGGGCGTAAGCCAGCTGGATACGGCCCTGTGCCGGCGCCAATGTGCGCTGCAAGGGCGCAATGCTGCCGCTGCTGCAGGACGCAGGCGATGCCCTGTTGCCAGGTTGACTGTTAGCGCCTCTGCAGGGCGCAGATTGTGCCAAGGCGAAGGCGCCACCTCTGGCGCTCACTCCGCAGCCAGCCCCGCCCCCGTTCTCCATTCACCCCCCCTCTCCGCTCCCCCTGGACCCGCTGCCCTGGAGACCGGTCGGGGCCCCTCCAACGGTGTCAAAACCAGCCCCGTAACGGCCATGTGCAGCCTCTGGGCCGGGCGCTGGACGGGTTTGCCTGCAAAGAGCGTGTCGGAGAGAGCCGCGCGCGGGGAGAGCTACGGGGTCCCAAAAGCCAGAGCTAAGCTAAGGCCCCGGGTCCAGTCTGCGCCATGCAGAACCGCAGCGGCAGGAAAGCCTTTGACAGCATCTGTCCCAACAGGGTGCGAGATCTGTGCAGCCGGCTAGGCAAGAAGCCAGCCAAGCTCAGAGGAAGGTGCGTTTGGGAGACAGTCCCGCGCCGCGGAAGAGCTTTGCCAGCACCACTCCAGTGGCAGTTTACAGAGACCAGCCTCCCGACACGGTAGAGCTAGGTGAGTTGTGGTGAATGCGAAACCCCTTCCCCGCTTTGTGTGAAAGCAGGAGTCCCCGGACTTGTTCCTAGCCTCTTCTGGCCACCCGTCTGGGCAAGGACCAGGGCAAGAGCGGAAAGTGGGTGTCAAAGGGGCTGCTGCGCTGTCCTGCACCTGTCGCCTCCAACGAACATTTGTTGTAAATGTCTGTTTCTCTGCCCCCCAGCACTTGCCACCTACAATGAACATTGTTGTAAATGTCTGTTTCTCTTCCCCCCCAGCACTTGCCACTATCGACTGGCAAGATTTAGCAGACTGCACCTCGGTCTTTCAGCAGGAGACTTCTAGTGTTGCAGCTGCCCCGCAGGTAACTGAGGCCGAATTGACACCCCCTCACCTCCCCGGACACCCCCCCCCCACTAGGCAGCCTCTGAATATCCCCCAATTTAATTCAGATGAACTTGTTCCTCAACTTAATCTGGCGCACGGGCGTTTGCAAAGGAAGAGGAGGCATTTCCACGCACGTTTGAGCCACTTCTCTTACCTCCTTCCTCTAAGGCAAGCTGCGGTTAACAAGCCTTTAAATGAACGGGCAGGTAGCTAGGATGGCTACTTGCTATATCGAATCCGCTCAGAAATAGTGATGGGTGGGGTTTGTAAACTTCAGCTTCTTTAGAAAAGATCAAGGCATTCTGGTAGCTATCAGTGCAAGCGGTGGACGAGTCTCTGAATATATTGAAGTGCTTACCCTTTAATAGAGCTCCCTTAGGCAATTCTCCTGCTGACTTCTGGGGCAGTTCATAAGGGTTAAGACGTAGCCATCTTCCCAAAGCACCCCAACGAGTCCTTGATTCCCTGGCTGCTGCAAAGGGAGGGGAGCTATTTAATGAGCTAGCTGTGTATTTCGTTTGGAAGTATCACCTACAGGTCAGTCATGCCCCGAACAGCAGGCTCTGCACGTAAAACAAGGCGAGCCTATGGACAAGCAAACAGGGGCCAAGCGACCTTCTCTTTGCAAATCCGGAGTCAGACAGGACCATCTTCCCCCTGGTTCCAGCTCGGAACAGGTGTTGATGGTTCCACCCCTTCATTGAATGCCGCCGGCGTCAAGCTGAGTGTTGGCTCAGCTTCATCCCCCTGCTCTCCCATCTGTCCCACCCTCTCTCGTTGTCGCAGATGGGTTGATTTAGGGACGACGAGCAGCTCTAGGCTGTATGGCGAAGACGGAGGACCCAGTGCGGGAATTGGAGAAGGGGGCACTCAGTGCCTGTGTTCTGGAAACACCTAGGTACTAAAGACAGACATTGGCCTCTTTCTTACTCATCCTGGTGCTAACATGGAGCATACTCCAAAGCCTGTTGCAATCAGTGGAAATATTCCCAATGACATCAGTGAGCTTTGGATCTGGCCCATACAGACCCTCCAGCGAGTAAAGCAGAAACCTCTAACACAGAGGTTCTCAAACTTCATTGCATGGTGACCCCCTTCTGACAACAAAAATGTACTACAACCCAGGAGGGGGGCCTGAAGACGGAGCCCCCCTGAGCCCCGCTGCCCTGGGGGTGTGTGCAAAGCTGAAGCCCAAGGGCTCCTGCCCTGGGTGGGGGGCATGTGACCTTAGCCCTGGGCGGTGGAGCTTGGGCTTGGGCTTCAGACTTGCTGGGGCCCAGGGCCAACACCAACCTTGGCAACCCTATTAAAATGGGGTCACGACCCACAGGTTGAGAACCGCTGCTCTAACAGAAATGAACCGCCTTGGGTTTCAAAAGGGTCAGAAATCAGCCACTCCTGAGGCTGAGACTCTTCCTGAAATGGGATAAGAAATGTGTAAATCAGAATAAATACCGCCTAGCATTTTGGAAGCAATCCACAGACTGGGTAAGTGGAGGGCTAGTAGGGACCTCTGCTCTCCATTGTTTATTCCAAGCCATTTAGCCCTGCTAGTTTATGCCACCATCTCTTTCCTCACATGATTGTCCTGCAGGGAGGGCGGGGGGAGGACCTGTCTCTTGCAATGTTTGTACCACTCCTAGCACAATGGGGATTTGATTGTGATTGGGGTCTCTGGATGCTATTGTAATAATATATTCATAGCTAGCTCTTCTAGGGGACTTTTCATCAGTAGAGCTCAAAGTGTGTTACAAAGGATGTCAGTATCATTACCCCCATTGTACAGATGGGGAAACTGAGGCACAGTGCAGGGAAATGACTTGCCCAAGGTCACCCAGCAGGCCAATAGCAAAGCAAGGAATAGAACCTAGGTCTCCTGAGTCCCAGTCCAGTGCTCTATCTACTAGCCACTAATAAAATGAATGAAAAATCCTACAATACTGTTTCAAAGCTCCCTGCATTAGATACACCATTTGAAAAGTTTTGCAGCACTCTCTTTTTCCAAGCTGAGCTGAATTACAGAGGCTGTGTGAATAGGCATTTAGCTGAATAGTGCTTTGCCCCTTTACTTGTCAAAACACTCCATTTTGGGGGATTGAAATGAAGATAAAATTACTGGGGTTCACTCCAAAAGTGTGGGAGATCAGAAAAAGATAACTCTGGTACAAATGTAGGAAAGGGGGTTATTGATAGAAGTGCTTGCTCACTGGGAGAGTGAGTGGTGCTGTAGTTATAGTTCAGGACCACTAGGAGTCAGGCGATCTGGGTTCTAGTCTGTCATTCCCAACTGTGACAGACATCTCTTTGCAGGTCACTTACCCTCACTGAGCTTCAATTCCCCCATCTGTAAAATGGGCACAATTTCTGTCCAAGGTCTCTCCATCTCTCCCTCCTTATGTTGCTCTCTTGAGTGAGGTTATTCTTTATTGTGTCTCTTGCGTGAACGGGGCTATTCTGCAGCCGTCATTGTTGGGGCAAGGCTTGCTGAAAGAGAGACACTTTTGCACTGCACCTTAAAAGTGACATATATTGCTTTCATCCTGATCTCCATTTTTAAGGAGGGTCTCCTGCCACAAGAGTCTTGTCCCTAGGTCATGTCTTGCTATGTATTTATGATACACCCAATGACTTTGGTATCCAGACCAATAAAGCTAGGCGCAGAGCTTCATTAATAGCAGCATCCCTGTTGATCACAGTTGATGGGTGATGGAAAAGGGAGATGGTTTCTAAGATAGCTAGACCCAACCCCATTCAGGCCTTGAAAGATTAGGATAAGGACCTTTACCTGGATCCAGAATCTGAGAATGAGAGCAGAGTGGTATCTCCTGGTTGCTCTGTCTTAGCTAGGAGTCTGGCTGCTGCATGTTTAAAAGATGAATACATAAGATCTGAAATAGAAACGGGAAATATATATATGAAAGACACATATACAGCTAGCTGTGTCCTCTGCAATACCAGCTGAATCTGCGCGGGAGGATGCCAGAGAACACAGGTGGAGCTTTTGTTGTGTCTGGAACTTCATGTTGTGTAGTGTAGCAGACAAATAGATGACAGAATGTAGCAAGAAGACATTTTAAAAAGGTAACCGTGCACATTTTTTTTGCACAATTTTCTTTCCCCTTGGTGTAGTCAATACCTGCGTGAAACTGCACACGAGCTAAGTTCATATTTTAAAGGACTGTTATTTGACATGATGCTCTTTGTCCACACCGTGCTTCTGGCCACGATCACAGATGTACTGTTCATACAGAATGCTATATGGGTGCACAAGAAAAGTGTGTTTTCTTCCATCCAGCCAAAATCGAGAGAGAGAGAGAGATTGGAAGAGAGGAGAGGAACTGTGCAGGAATAAAGCGATCCGCAGGAAGGCAAGAGGTTCTCTGTGAACAGACACCCGCCTAGGCGCACAGAGAGCGAGGTGTGGGAGAAATGCTGTTGTAGCACAAGTGCTCAGGTTAATCGTTCACCGACTCTGGAGGAATGGGCAGGCTGGACGAATATGGTTGGCTCGTGTTGCTAACCAATGAGAATAGAATAAGCAGCCTATATGGGGGCCCCAGGGCAGGCAGGCTGCAGCCCAACGCGTGCCATCATGGTTAACGGATCAGAGATTGCTGTTTTCTTCAATTACTAGTCACCTGCCACATTTACCTTTATACTGGTAGAGGCACAAAGTGCTGCGCATCAGCTATTACACTAACCATGGCAGTACAAGCTTGCCCTTTCCAGTGTCCAGCTTGGGGACTAGAGTTCCAGGTATGTGAGTGTGAACACAACAGAGTGTGTGAACACCGACAAGCAAATCGAAGCAGCGCTGGAGACCCGTCCTTAGTGGGCAGATTTGATTGACGAATCTGAATGCACTGATTAACTTGTATGTTTCCTTTACATGTTTCAGAGCCACTGCTTGCAACCTGAACCCGAGTTCGACTTCCAGGAGTTCAGAGATGCTGTCGATAGTTTTATATGTGGCAAGTACTTTTCTTATTGAATGTTAACACCATTATTCATACAGAGCACCGACTTCCTTTGGTCCCCTAGCTTCATACATTGCATTTTGGTCCCCTCACGTGCTTTTGTCTTTTTGGGTACCAGTTTAATTTGCTATCAGTTTAGTCATTGGACATTACATAACTGAATGCACCAATGTAGCATTCGTTAAGAAAAGTTTGCACTGACATATTGATTTTTTTTAAATATTGTCCAACCCCAAGGAAATGCAAACGAAATGTGTGTGTTTGGTACATACCAATGCTGTGGTACGTTAGTAGGGTGTCCAGACTTACACGACTGAATTAAACACCAGTTCAGATATTTACGGTTTTTCCGCGTAAAGAGATATGATCTCACTCTTGTGATTTCCTCCATAGACCCATCCTCCTTAATGCCCCCTCCACTGGACACTGAGGATTTCACTTTCCCTCTCGGCGACGGATCAGCCTTTAGCCCTTGTATTCAACCGTCACAAAACAATCCTCTTCCGCACATGAACTTGCAAAACTCCGCGGAACAGTACTGGAAAGATGTGGCAGACCAAAACCAGAAAGCGTTAGGGGATGCACTGGTGGAAAACAATCAGGTATGAAGGTAGAACGAATGCTTCTAAAATCATCCTGATCAGATATTGCAGAGATTACTCAGACGGGGTTGTCTACGTTTTATATTCCTTCCAAATTACCTGGTCCTGGCTTGATAGCTGAGTGATTGCAAGTGTCACATATTGCGCCCCACTTGCTAGCTTTGTTGGGCAAAGTCGTCTTCTGAACGGTCCCTGGTTACTAATCAATACTATTTGCAAAGGTAAAGAGGCTAAATCGGTTTGCGTACGGTGTGTGCACACTACAGCGCCCGTGCACGCGTGTGAGCTGTAACCTGACTTTCTACGGTAGAGGAAATGTTTGATTTCAAACTGACACCTTGTCGTTCAACAGCTGCACGTGACATTAACCCAAAAGCAGGAAGAGATCACTTCCCTGAAGGAAAGAAACGTGCAGCTGAAGGAGCTAGCCAGCCAGGCGAAGCAGCTGGCCTGTGTGCTCGATGTAAGTGCTCCGGTTTCCTCCTGGTTTCTTTTCCAAAGCATTACTCACTATCCTCAGGGTTTAAAAATGAGCGATAATGGCAGCGATTCCTTTCACTGCACGAGGCTTGCAGCCCGGAGACCCCCAGGGGGCGCCCTTAGGCCAGAAACGCGGAGCCGGAGCCAAAGCTAAGCTCCCACGCGGGTATATTACAACTCCCCGGCCCACGCGATGCGCCCAGTGGGAGCCACGGCGATCGGTTTAAAGCAACCTGTTGCATTTTGTTTTACCCACAGAAACTGATGATCCACCAGCCCAAGGAGGGGGGCGACGCTTTCCTTCCCAGGAACTCAGCTAAGAGAAGCCTGGAGCAGCTGTACGCGGCCAGGCAGGAGGACTGCGCAGAAGTGGATGAAATCCTGAGGGAAATATCAGACACCTGTAACGCGGCGCTGCAGACTATTGATGAGAATCGAGAGGCGAAGCGCCCTCGGCTGCAGGCGGAGGCAACACGAGCTCCGGACAGCCAGAGCCAGGCTATTAACATGTACGGGGCGTTCAGCGGACTGCAGACTTGCAGCAGTCGCAGCTCGGTGGATCTGAGTAACAGCGAGCTGGAGGAAGGCGTGTCTTTCAGGACCTCCATCACAGATCACTGCACGATCCGGACACTAGCTTTCCCCCAAGGAAATGCTTTCACTATCAGGACAGCCACCGGGGGCTACAAGTTTAGATGGGTTCCCAGCTGAGCCAGGAAACGATCAGCTAACTACACTGGCCAAGGTCTCCAATGAAAACTTCGCACTGCCTGCATTGGAACTTAGCACTGTTCCGTCTACCCTAGTCCCCCGAGGTGACTTCCACTTTGTCTGTAGAAGAAACTGGAAGCAATTTTTTTTTAAAGGAAAAGATGCATTTACCACAATAGAGCTGTGGTGTGTTTTTTCCTTTAAGCCATTGTTGTGACCCTTCCAACTTTTGAGCAGGTTTAGAGAGATTCTTAAAGGGACACTGCCCATTTGGATTTTTTTAAAAACTCCGTAAATAGTGTGTGTGCCTTGAAACTTTTAAAAATTTAATTAAAATGTGAATAAGAGGTTCTCTGCTCCCCTGTTGGTGTTTACGAGGGTCTTTTCAGCAACTAACTAACTACACAGGGGAAACAGCAAAACTGACTGTACACACTAGTCAAATACACACCCCAAACGAACTGGAAAAAAAATTGCCTCAGCAACTTCCTTCAGTTATAGTGATTGTGGGTATTGTAACTAGAGCAGGTAGAACATTTTCAGACAGAAATGTGACTTGCAAGTTGTTAGTGTCCCTTCACAGACAATTATTTATTATCGGTAATATTACTGTTGTTGAGATATCTTTGAAAGAAATATGTTGCCTGGTTTCTTTCACAGCAATCTTGTTAGAACGAATGTGAGGTTCTAAAATAGTGATTTTAGATAGTGTGTGCATTTCCAAAGATGCTATCTGAAGTATATTAAGCATACTACACTTTATTATTACTGGCATTTTAAATCCGGGAAGTTTACAAGATCACATTTAGACACTGACTTGTATACAACTGTACATATATTTTACAGCTACTGTGAGCACTACATGGTTTTGTACATTAAATTACAATGGATTTTTAAAAATAATTTCAAGTAAACATTGTTTTGCATCAGGCATATTCATTTACTTGGGTTTGTGCAAAAATAACAGTGTGTTCAATAACAGTAGAAGAAGAATATCTTTCTTACTGGAACTTGTTCTGATAAAGCAGACAGCCTTAGGAAAAAGAGACGCTGCCTGTTAACATGCAATAGAATTCTATCTGGTAAAGAGAAGTGCAAATAGCAGTTTCAAAGGTTTGAACTGATACATTTAAATTGTAGCTACCAGTTCAAAGTTGTGTGGCTAGCTTGTGAACCAAATAACATTCCAATTAATATGTCATATAAGAAGTTTCCATTTCTATGGTACATAAGAGAATGAAGATCACAATCAGGGACTCCTTTGCACATCCACTGGTCCCTGCCCAGCATGGCTTAGCTGAGATTTTAAAGGCTCAAAGTCAAGGACTCCTCAGTTAAGGTTACAGTATCTGCCTGTTGCACAGGGCCATGCACACCAACAGAACTTTATAAATACATAGCATGATGATGAAGGTGTGACTTGCAGACAGTACAGTTTCCTGTGAGCAATGCTTCATCTGATCTGAGTGGCAGGCTACTTGGTAAAGGTGCTATCTTGCATCCACCAGAGACCGGTGGTCTTTGCAAACCACACCGTTATCCTAAAAATTAGAGTAGATATGGTCTCCTGCATTTAATGCAAATGAATCACAAACGTGACCCTCGGATGGTTAATCACATTTTGGGCACTGTGATTTTTTTCAGGCACCTCTAGAACTTGGGGACTTCATCAGCAGAGTCAAGGAAAGGGTAGGGATGGTTTTGTGGCCTGCAGCATGCAGGGGGTCAGACCAGATGATCATAATGGTCCCTTCTGACCTTAAAGTCTATGAGTCTATGAACTATGAGGGCTCAGTGCTGGCACAATTCCAATCTGGTTCCCTCCTCATCGGAAGCCCTTTGCCATCCGAACTGAAATGCCTGGGAACAGTGATGGCTCTGCTTTGGGCAGCAGAGGCAGAATCTGCTACATCTGTTTTCAGTGTGTTTAGACATCACTGTTACCATAATTCAGTAGGGAATACATTGATAAAACACACCAAATTGCATCAAAACCTCCAGCCTCCCCCCTCCAAGTTTTTATTAAAATAAACACAAAGCTTACCAGGTAAATACATAATTTCATACTCAATATTTATTCCTAAAATATAAGACGGTCCAAATGAAAAGCTTTTAGTTCTATAAATAAGACACAACAATATAATAATCCACTCCCCAGACTACAAGCTAGTGATGTTTACTGCTGTTTTGAATTGGCCCAGAGATACCAATATTCTTTTACTCACTTATTTTGTTTTTTTTAATACTTGTTACAGAGTTTCCATCAAAACAGTCCAAATGTGATGAGGTGGCTGGGCAGATGTGCAGGTCTTTTAAGCATTGTCAATATATTGAATTCAACGGTCTTGTCTTCCATGACTTTATTTCCACCTGCTCCTACCATTCTGATACAGTGCACTGGGACACCATCTTCTCATACAGGTTTAAAACTAGAAGTGTAGGTGTTCAACTGGAAATACTAGAAGAGAAGGCAGGGACTCAACTCCTTTTTGTCAGCTCCCCTGTTTTGGGCTCAATCTAGTAATTTTCTATTTGGGATCAGCCATGCTGTCTGTCTAATGGAAAAGTTCCCCAGCTCTCTGAATCATTTTTCCATTTTGTCCTTCTGGTGGCTCCAGGTCTTTGCGATTAATTAGATCAAGCCAGATTCCCACTAAGATTATGACAGTAGCATCATCAGGCCCTGATTCTCTGGTGTGGCTGAGGGGCACTTGATACAAATTTACAGGGGTATGTGTTTGCAAAGGAACCTTAAAGCCACCTTTCTGCCTTCTGCTCCCATACAAGGATTATCCAGGAACTGGGCCAGTCCCTAGCACAAATGAGAACTGCTTGAGAGCAATTCTCACCTATACCAGCTGCCAGCAGCCCTCCATGCCTATTCTGGCAGCCCATGACTGTTGAGGCATCAGGGAGCCAACCCACCAGCACCTGGATGTGGGGTGGGGGTGCTTGAGAAGTCACTACATTGGGCCTACATCATAAAGGATACCTATATATGTTGGGAATCCTCCTGTGTCCAAGCAGATTGGCCTTTGGGCTGTACTGGTGCACAGGGCAGGATCTAGTCCATAATGCCCCTGAGAGTTGCATCCAGAGTCACTGAGAAGTAGATGTGTCTACTTTCCTTTTTAAATTAACCAACCATCAGGCTGACGGTGACTGCAGAGGAATTTTTGAACTTCTGTAATGTGTGTTAGGATTTTGTTAGGTATTATATCTTTCTCAGTGTGCCCCTCTGTCAGAAGTTTATTATGAATGCATCGGGAAGTAGCTTCATCTTTTTCATTTTATTTTTGTTGTTTGAGCAAAAGAGTATCTTGTCCTACTTTTGCATGTGGATGTCAATGCACTTTGCATGTGGATGTCAATTGTATTTTGCATGTCAGTGTGGATTTTTCAGTTTTTTCCTTTAAAATTGCCCGGTTTATTCACCTGAAATATCAAATGAATTTACATCAACCTGGAGGAGTAAACCCAGGGTGAAATGTTCCATTCCTTTGTTTGGATTCTTCATTTTGTGCTACGCTGAAAATGATAGCATAAGCCCAGTGGCCTGAAGGCCCACAGAATTGGGAGCTCACTATTGTCACCCATTGATGAAATGGGAGAAGAAAGAGCAGCTCAGAGCTACTTAAGATTTGCAGATGGGCAGGGGCTCCATTGGCAAGGGAGAGTTATGGGAAATACAAATTACACACTTACCCAAGGTTCCTTCCCCTGCATCAGCCTCGCCTATTGGGACTGAGTGGACTGAGGTGGAATCTCAAAGAGGTCCTGGCTCGTAGCATATATGAATCCCCCTCCAGTCACATGTCCTCCATTCTCTTCCTCCATCTCCTGGTTCTCACTGTTCATGCCAGGGGCCTGTGGCTTGGGCTCTTTGGAGCAGGGCCGGCTCCAGGCACCAGCGCAGCAAGCAGGTGCTTGGGGCAGCCAACGGAGAGGGGTGGCACGTCCGGGTCTATGGTGGCAATTTGGCGGCGGGGCCCTCAGTCCCTCTCAGAGGGAAGGACCTGCCGCTGAATTGCCGCCTAACAGTGAAGCGGCGGCGGTAGAGCAGTCGCTGGAGTGCCACTGATCACAGCTTTTTTTTCTTTTCCTTTTTTTTTTTGGTGCTTGGGGCGGCAAAAACGCTGGAGCCAGCCCTGCTTTGGAGGTATCCATGGTGGTGTGCAGAGTGGTGGTGGGGTCTCAACCAAGTATGCCAGGCAGATCTTTGTAGAAAGGACATGTCTGCAGCTTGGCACCAGATCAACTGTTGGGCTACCTGGCCTACAATATGCTTTCATGCGCCAATTCTGCTGGTCCT